GATATTTTGTTGTGTTTTTGTTTTTTTTCAGTCTTTTTTGTCTTTGCTTCTCAGTTTTGGAAGTTTCTAGTGTCAAGTCCTCAAGAGCAGAGATTCCTTTCCCAGCTGTGTCTAATAATGAGCCCATCAAAGATATTATTTATTTTCTGTTACAGTGTTTTTGATCTCTAGCATTTCTTTTTATTTCTCAGAATTTCCATGTCTCTGCTTGCATTATCCATTGTTAGATATTAATCGTACAGGTCTGATAATTCCAACATTCCTGCCATATCTGATTCTAGTCTTGATGCTTGTTCAGTGTCTTTAAGCGGTGTTTTCTGCCTTTTAGTGTGCCTTGCCATTTTTTGTTGAAAGGCAGACATGATGTACTAGGTAAAAGGAACTGCAATAAATAGGACTTTAATAATGCAGTGGTAAGGTAAGAGGGGAGCGGAAGCATTCTTTAGTCCTGTGATTAAATCTTAGTCTTTCCGTGAGCTTGTGCTCCTGGTCTGTGAGCTTCACTGGTGCTTCTCAGGTTTTCTTACCCCCTTAGGTAGAATACTTCTTACCCCCTTAGGTAGCCCCCTCAGGAGGGGCTGGAGTTGGGCATTTACTTTACCCCAGGTAGGTTAGGCTCTGATGGAACCCCAGCAGGTTAAACTCTGGTAAAATAGTTTCTTCTGAGGGTAGGTTTTGTAAAGAACAGAATATTCTAGCATATTTCAGAATGGTTTCTTTTCCCCTCCCCTTGCCGGAAGCATGAGAGGATTTTTCTCTGATATTTACTTTTAGGACCTGGTACAGCTCCTGAAGGTAAGACTCATAAAAAGCATGAGGGTCTCCCTATGACTGGGTCCTCCTGGAATTTTAAACTCTCAAGCTTGTCCACACTGAGCCTCCAGCACTTCATCAATTACAGTTCAGGTATTCCTACCCCAGCACTAGTTGCCAGGGGTGATTTCTTCTTGTGGGTTTCTGCCCAGGTATGTTGTGATTTTCTGTATCTGCCTGTCTCCAGTTTTTTCAGCAGTGGTTTGCTCTTTGTCCTCACTTCTCTGGTGGATCTAAGGAGAGTTGTTGATTTTTCAGTTTCTCCAGCTTTTTACTTGTGTTGTTAGGATGGAGTGGCAACTTCTAGGCTCCTTACATGTAAGACCAGATATCAGAAATCCTCCTAGTGATTTTAGTTTTATTTCCAATATAAAAGGTTGCATTCTTAAAATATAAAAGCAATATGTGCCCTTTTGTAGACATGTGCTTTCATTTCTCTTGAGTAAATACTTGGGAATAGGGACTTCCCTGGTGGCACAGTGGTTAAGAATCTGCCTGCCAATGCAGGGGACACGGGTTCGATCCCTGGTCCGGGAAGATCCCACATGCCGCAGAGCAACTAAGCCCGTGTGCCACAACTACTGAACCTGCACTTTAGAGCCTGCGAGTCACAACTACTGAAGCCCGCTCACTCTAGGGCCTGCATGCCGCAACTACTGAGCCCGCGTGCTACAGCTACTGAAGCCTCCGCGCCTAGAGCACGTGCTCCACAACAAGAGAAGCCACTGCAATGAGAAGCCCGCACACTGCAAAGAAGAGTAGCCCCTACTCACCACAGCTAGAGAAAGCCCACGCGCAGCAACGAAGACCCAATGCAGCCAAAAATAAATGAATGAATGAATGAATAAAAACACTTAAAAAAAATACCTGGGAATACAATGGCTGCATAATATGGTAAATGGAGAATTTTTAAAGAAACTGCCAGTTTTCTCAAATGGTTGTACATTTTATATCCCCATCAGCTGTGTGAGATCCAGTTGCTCCATATCCTTGCTAATGTTTCTTTTTTTTTTTTGCGGTACGCGGGCCTCTCACTGTTGTGGCCTCTCCCGTTGCGGAGCACAGGCTCCGGACGCACAGGCTTAGCGGCCATGGCTTACGGGCCCAGCCGCTCCACGGCATGTGGGATCTTCCCGGACCGGGGCACGAACCCGTGTACCCTGCATCGGCAGGCGGACTCTCAGCCACTGCGCCACCAGGGAAGCCCTCATGAAACTTTTATATTTTCTTCTAAGAGTTTTATAGTGTTAGTTCCCACATTTAGGTCCCTTTTATAGTGTTAATTCCCACATTTTGATCCATTTTTGTATATGGTATAAGGGGTTCAACTTCATTCTTTTGCATGTGGATATCCAGTTTTCCAAATACTATTTTTTGTTTGTTTGTTTTTTCAGTACGCAGGCTTCTCACTGCTGTGGCCTCTCCCGCCACGGAGCACAGGCTCCGGACGCTCAGGCTCAGCAGCCATGGCTCACGGGCCCAGCCGCTCCGCGGCATGTGGGATCTTCCCGGACCGGGGCCCGAACCCGTGTCCCCTGCATCGGCAGGCGGACTCTCAACCACTGCGCCACCAGGGAAGCCCTCCAAATACTATTTTTTGAAGACTTCCCTTTTCCCCAATGAATGAATGGTTTTAGCACCCTTGTTGAAAATCGTTTGACTGTATGTGCAAGAGTTTATTTCCGGGCTCTCCATTCTATTCCATTGGTCTATATGTCTGTCTTGATGCCAGTACCACACTTTTTGGGGTTAGGGTAGCCTTGTAATCAGGAAATGTGAGACTTCCAACTTTGTTCTTTTTCCAGATTGTTTTGGCTCTCCAGGGTCCTTTGAGATTCTGTTTGAATTTTTGGATTGGTTTTAAAATTTCTGCAAAAAACACTGTTGGGCTTTTGAGAGGGATTGCATTGAATCTACATATAGATCACCTTGGCTATTGTGGACATCAAACAATATTAAGTCTTCTAATCCATGAACAAGGAATATCTTTCCATTTATTTGTATCTTTAACTTCTTTGAGCAACATTTTGTAGTTTTTAGTGTACAAGTCTTTCACCTCTTTGGTTAAAGTTTTTCCCTAAGTATTTTATGTTATTTTTGATGCTATTGTAAATAGAATGTTTTATTAATTTCCCTTTGAGATTGTTCATTATTTTTAAAATAACTTTATTTATTTATTTATGGCTGCATTGGATCTTCGTTGCTGTGTGCAGGCTTTCTCTAGTTATGGCGAGCGGGGGCTACTCTTCATTGTGGTGTGCAAGCTTCTCATTGTGGTGGCTTCTCCTGTTGTGGAGCACGGGCTCTAGGCCCGTGGGCTTCAGTAGTTGTGGCATATGGGCTCAGTAGTTGTGGCTCACGGGCTCTAGAGTGCAGGCTCTGTAGTTGTGGGGCACAGGCTTAGTTGCTCTGCGGCATGTGGGATCTTCCCAGACCAGGGCTCGAACCCACGTCCCCTGCATTGGCAGGTTGATTCTTTTTTTTTTTTAATAAATTTATTATTTATTTATTTATTTTATTTTTGGCTGCGTTGAGTCTCCGTTGCTGTGCACGGGCTTTCTCTAGTTGCAGCCAGTGGGGCTACTCTTTTTTGTGGTGTGTGGGCTTCTCATCGTGGTGGCTTCTCTTGTTGTGGAGCACGGGCTCTAGGCGTGTGAACTTCTGTAGTTGTGGCACGCGGGCTCTGTAGTTGTGGCACGTGGGCTCAGTAGTTGTGGCTCACGGACTCTAGGGCGCAGGCTCAGTAGTTGTGGCGCATGGGCTTAGTTGCTCTGCGGCATGTGGGTTCTTCCCGGACCAGGGCTCGAACCCGTGTCCCCTGCATTGGCAGGTGGATTCTCAACCACTATGCCACCAGGGAGGCCTGGCAGGTGGATTCTTAATCACTGCGCCTCCAGGGAAGTCTTGAGATTGTTCATTGTTAGAGTATGGAAAAGCAACTGATTTTTTTTTTTTTAAAGAAGGTTATCTCCCTTTTAAATTTATTATTTATTTATTTATTTATGGCCGCGTTGGGTCTTCGTTGCTGCGTGCAGGCTTTCTCTAGTTGCGACGAGAGGGAGCTACTCTTTGTTGCGGTGCGTGGGCTTCTCATTGCGGTGGTTTCTCTTGTTGCGGAGCACGGGCTGTAGGTACGTGGGCTTCAGTAATTGTGGCACGCAGGCCCAGTAGTTGTTCCTTACGGGCTCTAGAGCGCAGGCTCAGTAGTTGTGGTGCACAGGCTTAGTTGCTCCGCGGCATGTGGGATCTTCGCGGACCAGGGCTTGAACCCGTGTCCCCTGCATTTGCAGGCGGATTCTTAACTACTGCGCCATCAGGGAAGCCCCCTACAAAGCCATTTCTTAATGTTGCACATATTGGTTATCCCTCCCTTTTTTGGCTGTTATAAACAGTAGTGCAAAAGACATCTTTTGTGAACCAGTGTGACAGGTTTTGAATAGCTGTATTGCCGGTTTACTGGATGTTATTATGAATCTTTCTATTTTTTCTCATCTGAGAAATGAAAAATATATTGTTTACATTTGAACTTTTTATTAATAGAGTTGAATATCATTTCATATACTATTGACCTTTTAATTTTTTTGGTAACAATTTTATATTTGTAATTTTTTTGGCCTATTTTTGTATTGCTTTGAACATACATGATATATATTGTAGGTACACCCTTTGTTATCTATCATTGCAAAATTTCATCGTGTCTGTCTTTTGTGTTTTAACTTTGCCGTATTAGTTAAATCTGTCAGTTGAGTGAATTTTTTAAGTTAGCTTTCTCCCACCTTGCTAATCTGCAGCTAACTGAAAGGCGCATTTTGGTTTAGAATTCTCTTTTGTCGTGTCTTTCTAGATTTTTATATTCTAGTTAATGTTTCTGGACTTGATTCAGTCTGTGGTATCATGAGTCTACAAATTAAAATTTCTAATTAGCATCCTGTGACCATTCAGTCACTTGAGACTTATCCAGAAATCTTAGAACTTGCCTTAAAATAACGCATAATAGGATTTATATTACCTATACTGAGTATGAGTTGTCTACTCTTCTACCCGCTTTCCCTTGGAAAGAGGAAAGTGAGACCATTTCAAATAGAAACTAAAACTTTCTCATATCTTTTAATCCAGATATATTAACAGTTGATCCTTTTTTTTGTTTTTTTTTTTTTGGCCACACCGTGTGTCTTGTGAAATCTTAGTTCCCCGGCCAGGGATTGAACCCAGGCTCTTGTCAGTGAAAGCCCGGAGTCCTAACCACTGGACCGCCAGGGAATCCCCTACAGATTGTGTCTTTAGATGCTTTGACAACCGTAAACAATTCAGTGACAATTTTGGTGAGTAGGTTGTTTTTTTTTTCCTCCCCACATTTTCCTATTTTCCTCTTTAATGGAACTTTACTCTGAAGGTATATATATTCTAACATTTAAGCACTGGTTCCAAAACCTACATTATTTGGCTGCTTTATAAACATTTAACATTTTGGTTTATTTAAGTCTTTTTTTTTTTGTTTTGGCTGGGCCACACAGCTTGCAGGATCTTAGTTCCGCGACCAGGGATTGAACCTGAGCCCACAGCAGTGAAAGCACCGAGTCCTAACCACTGGACCGCCAGGGAATTCCTTATTTAAGTCTTATTGATGTGTACATAAATAATTATTTATGTAAGCATCATAATTAATGTTAGAATCAAGTACCTTCAATTATTGTGGAACTGCAAGTAATATTGTACAGAATGTTTCCCTCTATCTCCCAGGTTCTGCCTGTCTGCTCACTTTTCAGATAAATTAACTAAAGGAAGTTTAGTTTATTATTTATTTGAAGCCTTCCCCTCCCCATATCAAAGTTTTTTGTTTTGTTTTGTTTTGTTTGCTTAAGTGGTCATTTGTGTAGTAATTCAAGGAGTTTTTATTTAATATCCATTAAAAAAAAGTTTTTTTTTTCTTTTTGGCCACACAGCGTGGCACGTGGGACCTTAGTTGCCCGACCAGGGATCGAACCCACGCGCCCTGCAGTGGAAGCGCGGAGTCTTTTTTGGCCACACCGGGCGACATGTGGGATCTTAGTTCCCCGGTCAGGGATTGAACCCGTGCCCCCTGCATTGGGATTGTGGAGTCTTAACCACTGGACCATCAGGGAATTCCTGAAGCACAGAGTCTTAACCACTGAAACACCAGGGAAGTCCCAATATCCATTTTTAAGTAGTAGTTTGGTAAGTGTGAAAGCATGTCTGAAGTATCCTTTATCTACAAGAAACTTAATACCAATTGCAAAGACAGTAGAGACAAACAGAAGACATATTTTTCAAGGGAAGAATTTATAAATAGTATTAACATTAAGATAAAACCTCACATTTTTTAAAAAAGATTTATTTATTATTTGTTTATTTTATTTATTTTTGGCTGTGTCAGGTCTTAGTTGCGGCATGCAGGATCTTTCGTTACGGCACGCGGGCTCTTCGTTGTGGTGCACAGGCCTCTCTCTAGTTGTGGGGTGCAGGTTTTTCTCTTCTCTAATTGTGGTTCGCAGGCTCCAGAGCGCGTGGGCTCTGTAGTTTGTGGCATGCGGGCTGTAGTTGAGGCGTGCAAGCTCAGTAGTTGCGGCACGCAGGCTTAGTTGCCGCGCGGCATGTGGGATCTTACTTCCCTGACTACTGATCGAACCTGTGTCCCCTGCATTGTAAGGTGGATTCTCTATCACTGGACCACCAGGGAAGTCCCAAAACCTCACATTTTTAATTCCTGATCTTGTTGGGATTTCTGAGTTTATCTGTGAACTGTGTTCTGCTTTCTATGCAGAATGGATCCTTTTTTAAAAAAATTCTGGCCACACTGCGGCTTGTGGGATTTCAGCTCCCGACCAGGGATTGAACCTGGGCCACAGCAGTGAAAGCACCTAATCCTAACTACTAGACCATCAGGGAACTCCCGGAATGGATCCATTTTAAAATAAGTAATCTTCAGGAGTTCCCTGGTGGCCTAGTGGTTAGGATTCCAGGCTTTTACTGCCATGTTCCAGGTTCAATCCCTGGTTAGGGAACTGAGATCCCGCAAGACATGAGTCATGGCCAAAAAAAAAAAACTGGAGTCCCATTGAATAAATCCTTGCATTAGAAGGAACAAATGCTAACAATAGCCAACCTTTTTATTCCTTTTTAGTACAGGTCAGAGAGAAAGAACATGAACTTTGCAATTGTACATACTTACATTCTTTCACTTTCACTTTAGTTGGTTTTGAGTGATAGTGAAAGACTCGCTGATGAGGAATAGTTAAGTTTCCATATGGCTGTGTACAAATATAAAGTATATGAGTGTATAATGGTTTTCAAGTTTTATTTGTATTTGGCAAGTTTTAAAACATATTTAAACAGCTTTAAGCTGATATGGATTGCTCTAGTGACTGTTGTTTTAAGAATTTAGATGACTTATCATTTGATTATACAAGGTGTATTTGTCTTCCTAAGTTAGGTTTCCTAACCTTCAGACCAGATCCAACCAAGGGTATCATTTTTCTTAATAATGATAATGTTAATAGTGATGATAATAAAAAAAATGAATTCATTGTTTAGTGTATGCTAGGCACTAAATGCATTACATAATCATATAGCTAACCCTAGGTACAGAGAGGTTATATAACCTACTATAGGTCATAAAATTGGTAACTGATTCAAACCTAGACAGTTCAGCTCCTTGGGTCCATGCACATCATCACACAGTCTACTGCCTGTCATTAAAAACCGCACCATATATATATATATGTTTTTTAATAGATTTATTTTATTTTTGGCTGCATTGGGTCTTCGTTGCTGCGTGCGGGCTTTCTCTAGTTGCGGCAAGTGGGGGCTACTCTTTGTGGCGGTGCGCGGGCTTCAGTAGTTGCAGTGCATGGGCTCAGTAACTGTGGCTCGTGGGTTCTAGAATGCAGGCTCAGTAGTTGTGGCGCATGGGCTTAGTTGCTCTGTGGCATGTAGGATCTTCCTGGACCAGGGATAGAACCCATGTCCCCTGCATTGGCAGGAGGATTCTTAACCATGGAGCCACCAGGGCAGTCTCCACACCATATTTTAATTATCTGTTTGTGTCTGTGCTACTTCTTATTAGAATCTAAGTTCCTTAAGGACTAAGAGCCATGATTCATTCTTTTTCACCTGTGGTCTTCTATGGTATCTGACGTATAGTAGGTGTTCAATAAATACGTATCGAGTGAACTAAAGCAAAATGTAAAGTAATGCAGTAATAAGTCTGTCATATTTTTTGGGCTTGAATTTCTTTTTTTTTTTTAAATTTATGTATTATTTATTTTGGACTGTGTTGGGTCTTCATTGCTGCACGCGGGCTTTCTCTAGTTGTGGTGAGTGGGGGCTACTCTTCGTTGTGGTGCACGGGCTTCTCATTGCAGTGGCTTCTTTTCTTGCAGAGCACGGGCTCTAGGCACACGGGCTTCAGTAGTTGTGGCTTGTGGGCTCTAGGGCACAGGCTCAGTAGTTGTGGGGCACAGGATTAGTTGCTCCGCGGCACGTGGGATCTTCCTGGACTAGGGCTCGAATCCATGTCTTCTGCATTGGCAGGCGGATTCTTAACCACTGTGCCACCAGGGAAGTCCCCTGAATTTCTTCATATGCTTATTCTATTGACTTTATGTGTAACAAACAAAATTATATTTGGGACTACTTTTCATTAGCTTTAATTTGTATTTTATTTCCCTTTGAGGAATACAATCAAGATATTTACTAATTGTAAAGATTCTGTACAGTGTTTTAAATATTAAGGAAATGCAGAGTGTAAAAATTGTAAATTACGTACTTTTTAGATTAAATGGAGAGAAAAACTGATTCCATAGCATTATATAATATCGTATTATATGCTATTGTTTTTTCCAGTTTTATTGAAATATAATTAACAAAAAATTATATATCTTTAAGATATACAACTTGATGTTTTGATATACATATACATTGTGAAATTATCATCACAAGCTAATTAACATGTCCATCACCTCACACATTTACCATTTTCTGGGTTTTTTTTGTTTTTTTTTTGTGGTGAGAACACTTAAGATCTACCCTATTAGCAAATTTCAAGCGTGCAGTACAGCAATAGATACATTGCTGTACATTAGATTTCCAGAACTTAGTCATCTTGTGTAACTGAAACTTTGTGCCCTTTGACCAATATCTCCCCGTTTCCCCCTCCCTCCAGTTCCTGGCAGCCAGCATTCTACTTTCTGCTTCTGTGGGTTTGATTATTTTAGATTCCACATATGTGATATCATGCAGTATTTGTCTTTCTGTGTCTGGCTTATTTCATTTAGTGTAATGTCCTCCAGATTCATCCATGTTGTCACAAATGGCAGGATTTCCTTCTTTTTTAAGACTGAATAGTATTCCATTGTGTGTATGTGTATGTGTGTATATATATATGTCTGTGTGTATATATATATACATATATATATACACATATATGTCTGTGTATATATATATATACGCACACACACACATAAGCATAACATATTTTCATATATATATACATCTATATATGTATATATATACATATTTATATACGTCTGTGTGTATATATATATATATATACACATATATATATATATATACGCACACACACACACATAAACATAACATATTTTCTTTATCCATTCATCCATCACTGACAGACCTTTAGTTTGTTTCCATATCATAGCTATTGTGAGTAATGCTGCAATGAACATGGGAGATATAGATTTCATTCCTTTATGTTGTATACCCAAAAGTGAGATTGCTGGATCATAAAATAGTTGTTTTTAATTTTTTGAAGAATCTTCATGCTGTTTTCCATAATGGCTGTACCAATTTACATTCCCACCAACAGTATTTCAGAGGTTCCCTTTTCTGCATATCCTTGCCACCACTTGTTTAGTATGTTTTGTCTTTTTTCATAATACATATGCTTGTTCTTAAATGCTAAACTGAAGAGTTAGTTCTCCAAATCAGTGCTTCTTAACTTTTTTTTTTCCAAGATGTTAATAGAAAAGGATGTTTTCTTGGTACACCAGAAAGAAGAGGCTCACACAAGGAGGGTGTCAGAGGCCTCTCATTGCTCAAGACCTGTTGGCTGCCCCAAGGGCCAAGGAAATCAATATTTTGGCAAATCTGTAATTCATATTTGGAACTGCCACAGAATATTGCTTGGAAATTCTCTGCTGTAAATAGTTTCAAACTTTTAGAATTACAAGGGATCTTCTTTTCCAGATCCCTTATAATAAAATATTATTTTATTTTTCTATGTATATATTCTATTATAAATAATAATTTTATAAACATATTTATTTATATATTTTATTTATTT